CGGGATCAACGTTAGGATTTGACAATTGGCACACTCGCATGGCTTTGACAACGTATGGGACGCCGACAAAATGAAGAGAATGGCGGAACACATTTTAACATCAGAAGTCAAGACTGGGACAATGACGAACACCGCGGTTTCAGCTGGGGTGCCCATGATGACCTCAGCTTCCGACTTTTAGGAGATTTTCTACTCGAAAATAGACCAAAACAGGTCGAAAGGGCCAGACAAGGAGAGCCCAAAGTGCCCATGTTCGTCACGCATTACACCATTTCGAGTCATGAGCCTTATGACTCACTGCCCAAGTGGTACGAAGAGTCCGAGAAACCAGACTTTTCGGCCATGTACGAAGGTGAACAGCACGCAGACAGGGTCAAAAGGTACATGAACGCGCGGTATTTTACCGATACGGAACTCGGCAAGTTCATGGACCGCATGCACAACGAGGGATTCCTCCACGACACCATCGTTGTCATCTTTGGAGACCACGGACAGGCACCCGAGGTTGACAAGTTTAACGTGCACGAAGAGTCTGCGACGCGCGTACCTGCCGCTATCATTGCTGAAGGGCGATTGGGTAATGCTGTGGGGCTTGTGCTTAATGACGTAGCCGAGCAGTACGATCTTCTAAATACTCTCGCAGACATTACTGGGTTACCGAAGGGAGGATTCCAGCAAAATGGCGTCGGTCGGTCACTGAAGCGTAAAGCTTCTTCCAAAAAGCATGTCGTGTATAGTAACGACCCGCTGCGCAAGATGGCGATTGTACGAGGCCACGAGCGTCTTCGTTATGACGAAATTACAGACTCAATGATGCTGCACGACACGGAAACGGACTTCCACATGACAACGGATCTGTTACCGCTCCTTAAACCAGAAGAGCGTGCTGAGTGGGAAGCTTTGCGAGAGGATGGACGTCGCATTACCGCATACTTCAAGAAGCGGTGGGACGAGAACTGTCTCCTCGCAGTCCAGTGCGAGACCCTTAGTTGACACTGTCAACTTGACAGTTGACCTTACCGGCAAACCGGTAGCTGACATGGGTTTGAACGCTTCGGTCTTATAAGTAATTGGGTGGGATCGTCTCGTCGATGAAGAAGACGAAGCGGCACGTATGCAGACAGCGTTCTGGTCTGCAGTGCTCAAAGAGAAACGATGACGATACGCAGGAGTCCATCTCGGCGTACGAGCGAGAGGAAGCGCAGAGTCGTATGTGGAAATTGGTTGCCTAGAATTTTTAAATGGAAGATCGCCTGAACTGCAATAGTAAAAAAACACATGCGGATGGGTCTATTGACACTAGTTAAAAAAAATTCTATCAATATCGATCAAGCAGAGGTGCAAGTGCAACACGTTACATATGATACTATTGTGTACACCGCCATGCGGGCCGTAGTGGAGTGTCTGCGCTCGATCCCAAAGCGCTTAACCCCGTCAGCTTGGTTAGCTCCGAAAAGGTACGTATACGGAACTGATCAGATTCTAGATCAGATATTTATCTTACTGGAGATCTGACATGGGATCTGAAAATGATTGGTAAGTTCACGCACTTCTTCAGCCTCGAGGCTGCTCGTGCGTTGGTCAGTGGAGAAGATAAATCAAGAGGCAAACGAGGGCGCGTCGGTGGATGCCGAGGTGGAGCCTGCTGAGCCGGCCGAGAACGTCGTTAGCACTGAGTTGCTGTTCGAGCAAGCTCGACAGCAACTCGCAAATGATGTGGGGTCTGTGCCACGACGTGGTGAGCGGACGACATGCTTCTACAAGGGCTATAAGTACTGCAAGGCATGGTCGTCCTCAAGGAAAATTGTGTACAGATGCTCTAAGTTTCGCCAAGGTTGCAGAGAAAAGCTGGAGTTTACTATTGCATCGATGGTGTGACGGGGTCACACAGCACCTTGCGCTAGAGGAAGTTATCTTCCGAGAGTATACAAACTCTCAGTGAACGGCAGTTCACAGGTCCCCTCTTTATTTAAAGAGAGCGAAGTGACCTAAATAAGGTAGATTGTAAACTGAGTATATTTATAGGTAGGTTAAGTTTGAGGTTAATACAAACTATCAGTTACCTATAGAAATGCAATGTCATTTAACCAATGGTTGGTTTTGAATGACCTTGGTACCTTGTACCAAATATCCCGGAGTATGACATGTCATACTCCTGAAGTGTGAAGTGTCACACTTCATGTAACCAGGGTACACTTAGTGCTACGTACCCCGTTACAGATGGCGTATGCTGCTGTAAAGCTGCACACATGCCGCATCGAAGCCATTGCCAACGTCGTCATCAACGTTGAGGACCAGATGAAAGCTCAAGCCGACCTTCTTGCGATTAAGCACGTCGCTTGGCCTGTGCGCCAAGTTTGGGAAGAATTGCGACGCCAGTTCTACTCAGCTGACAATCCCAACGTTGTTCGTGGGTTGTCAGAGCAACAAGCTGTCCGACGAGTACACCGAGCAAGAAGCGCGCATTACTCTAGCAATGTTCACGGCTCTATTGAAATTCTACCGCTTTCATTGGCACTAGACGAGGAGCTTTCCTTTTTCCAGTTTCACTATGCAGCGGGGCTGCCGTAGCTTTAGCGTCAGAGGAAGACGTTCGACTCAAAGAGTCACTAATACTAAGTTCCTTATCCAAAGGACACTTACAGCCCAAGACCAGGGCTCAAAG